GCGCGATGCGACTTGGGAGCAGACAACGTTTTACACGAGAATCAGTCGTGATTATGTAGCCGTCAGTATGACGCAAGAAAGCTCCATCGACAATGCAACATCCAGCTGGCGGAGGATAGACAAAAAAGGGGCCTCACCGGGAATCGAACCCGGGACCTCTCGCACCCGAAGCGAGAATCATACCACTAGACCACGAGGCCACACTGGTGACGTCTACTTGCCACATTTTGCACGCATTATTGCAAGCGGAACACTACGCACGATACGATTGTGCTCTGATACGCACGACGATATGCTTCTCTTTCGGCGCATGCATTCCACAGTCAGTATCAGCTCTCCCAAACTGACGTTCGCTGCAGGCGCGATGCGACTTGGGAGCAGACAACGTTTACACGAGAATCAGTCGTGATCTATGTAGCCGTCAGTATGACGCAAGAAAGCTCCATCGACAATGCAACATCCAGCTGGCGGAGGATAGACAAAAAAGGGGCCTCACCGGGAATCGAAACCGGGACCTCTCACACCCAAAGCGAGAATCATACCACTAGACCACTAGGCCACACTGGTGACGTCTACTTGCCACATTTGCCACGCATTATTGCAAGTGGAACACTACGCACGATACGATTGTGCTCTGATACGCACGACGATATGCTTCTCTTTCGGCGCATGCATTCCACAGTCAGTATCAGCTCTCCCAAACTGACGTTCGCTGCAGGCGCGATGCGACTTGGGAGCAGACAACGTTTACACGAGAATCAGTCGTGATCATGTAGCCGTCAGTATGACGCAAGAAAGCTCCATCGACAATGCAACATCCAGCTGGCGGAAGATAGACAAAAAAGGGGCCTCACCGGGAATCGAACCCGGGACCTCTCGCACCCGAAGCGAGAATCATACCACTAGACCACGAGGCCACACTGGTGACGTCTACTTGCCACATCGTTTGCACGCATTATTGCAAGTGGGAACACTACGCACGATACGATTGTGCTCTGATACGCACGACGATATGCTTCTCTTTCGGCGCATGCATTCCACAGTCAGTATCAGCTCTCCCAAACTGACGTTCGCTGCAGGCGCGATGCGACTTGGGAGCAGACAACGTTTTAACGAGGATCAGTCGTGACTATGTAGCCGTCAGTATGACGCTAGAAAGCTCCATCGACAATGCAACATCCAGCTGGCGGAGGATAGACAAAAAGGGGCCTCACCGGGAATCGAACCCGGGACCTCTCGCACCCGAAGCGAGAATCATACCACTAGACCACGAGGCCACACTGGTGACGTCTACTTGCCACATTTGCCCGCATTATTGCAAGTGGAAACACTACGCACGATACGATTGTGCTCTGATACGCACGACGATATGCTTCTCTTTCGGCGCATGCATTCCACAGTCAGTATCAGCTCTCCCAAACTGACGTTCGCTGCAGTCTCGATGCGACTTGGGAGCAGACAACGTTTACACGAGAATCAGTCGTGATCATGTAGCCGCCAGTGTGACGCAAGAAAGCTCCATCGACAATGCAACATCCAGCTGGCGGAGGATAGACAAAAAGGGGCCTCACCGGGAATCGAACCCGGGACCTCTCGCACCCGAAGCGAGAATCATACCACTAGACCACGAGGCCACACTGGTGACGCCGACTCGCCACATTGTTTGCACGCATTATTGCAAGTGGGAACACTACGCACGATACGATTGTGCTCTGATACGCACGACGATATGCTTCTCTTTCGGCGCATGCATTCCACAGTCAGTATCAGCTCTCCCAAACTGACGTTCGCTGCAGGCGCGATTCGACTCGGGAGCAGACAACGTTTACACGAGAATCAGTCGTGACTATGTAGCCGTCAGTATGACGCTAGAAAGCTCCATCGAAAATGCAACATCCAGCTGGCGGAGGATAGACAAAAAGGGGCCTCACCGGGAATCGAACCCGGGATCTCTCGCACCCAAAGCGAGAATCATACCACTAGACCACTAGGCCACACTGGTGACGTCTACTTGCCACATTTTTGCCACGCATTATTGCAAGTGGAAACACTACGCACGATACGATTGTGCTCTGATACGCACGACGATATGCTTCTCTTTCGGCGCATGCATTCCACATTCAGTATCAGCTCTCCCAAACTGACGTTCGCTGCAGGCGCGATGCGACTTGGGAGCAGACAACGTTTACACGAGGATCAGTCGTGATCATGTAGCCGTCAGTATGACGCAAGAAAGCTCCATCGACAATGCAACATCCAGCTGGCGGAGGATAGACAAAAAGGGGCCTCACCGGGAATCGAACCCGGGACCTCTCGCACCCGAAGCGAGAATCATACCACTAGACCACGAGGCCACACTGGTGACGCCGACTCGCCACATTGTTTGCACGCATTATTGCAAGTGGGAACACTACGCACGATACGATTGTGCTCTGATACGCACGACGATATGCTTCTCTTTCGGCGCATGCATTCCACAGTCAGTATCAGCTCTCCCAAACTGACGTTCGCTGCAGGCGCGATTGGACTTGGGAGCAGACAACGTTTTAACGAGGATCAGTCGTGACTATGTAGCCGTCAGTATGACGATAGAAAGCTCCATCGACAATGCAACATCCAGCTGGCGGAGGATAGACAAAAAGGGGCCTCACCGGGAATCGAACCCGGGACCTCTCGCACCCAAAGCGAGAATCATACCACTAGACCACGAGGCCACACTGGTGACGTCTGCTTGCCACATTTTTTGCACGCAGTATTGCAAGCGGAGACACTGCGCACGATACGATTGTGCTCTGATACGCACGACGATATGCTTCTCTTTCGGCGCATGCATTCCACATTCAGTATCAGCTCTCCCAAACTGACGTTCGCTGCAGGCGCGATGCGACTTGGGAGCAGACAACGTTTTAACGAGGATCAGTCGTGACTATGTAGCCGTCAGTATGACGCTAGAAAGCTCCATCGACAATGCAACATCCAGCTGGCGGAGGATAGACAAAAAGGGGCCTCACCGAAAATCGAACCCGGGACCTCTCGCACCCGAAGCGAGAATCATACCACTAGACCACGAGGCCACACTGGTGACGTCTGCTTGCCAAATTTTTTGCACGCAGTATTGCAAGCGGAGACACTGCGCACGATACGATTGTGCTCTGATACGCACGACGATATGCTTCTCTTTCGGCGCATGCATTCCACATTCAGTATCAGCTCTCCCAAACTGACGTTCGCTGAGGCGCGATTCGACTCGGGAGCAGACCACGTTTACACGAGAATCAGTCGTGATCATGTAGCCGTCAGTATGACGCAAGAAAGCTCCATCGACAATGCAACATCCAGCTGACAGAAGATAGACAAAAAGGGGCCTCACCGGGAATCGAACCCGGGACCTCTCGCACCCAAAGCGAGAATCATACCACTAGACCACGAGGCCACACTGGTGACGTCTTCTTGCCACATCGTTACCACGCAATATTGCAAGCGGGAACACTAAGCACGATACGATTGTGCTCTGATACGCACGACGATATGCTTCTCTTTCGGCGCATGCATTCCACATTCAGTATCAGCTCTCCCAAACTGACGTTCGCTGTAGGCGCGATTCGACTCGGGAGCAGACCACGTTTACACGAGAATCAGTCGTGATCATGTAGCCGTCAGTATGACGCAAGAAAGCTCCATCGACAATGCAACATCCAGCTGACAGAAGATAGACAAAAAAGGGGCCTCACCGGGAATCGAACCCGGGACCTCTCGCACCCAAAGCGAGAATCATACCACTAGACCACGAGGCCACACTGGTGACGTCTTCTTGCCACATCGTTACCACGCAATATTGCAAGCGGGAACACTAAGCACGATACGATTGTGCTCTGATACGCACGACGATATGCTTCTCTTTCGGCGCATGCATTCCACAGTCAGTATCAGCTCTCCCAAACTGACGTTCGCTGCAGGCGCGATGCGACTTGGGAGCAGACAACGTTTTAACGAGGATCAGTCGTGACTATGTAGCCGTCAGTATGACGCTAGAAAGCTCCATCGACAATGCAACATCCAGCTGGCGGAGGATAGACAAAAAGGGGCCTCACCGAAAATCGAACCCGGGACCTCTCGCACCCGAAGCGAGAATCATACCACTAGACCACGAGGCCACACTGGTGACGTCTACTTGCCACATTTGCCCGCATTATTGCAAGTGGAAACACTACGCACGATACGATTGTGCTCTGATACGCACGACGATATGCTTCTCTTTCGGCGCATGCATTCCACCGTCAGTATCAGCTCTCCCAAACTGACGTTCGCTGCAGTCTCGATGCGACTTGGGAGCAGACAACGTTTACACGAGAATCAGTCGTGATCATGTAGCCGCCAGTGTGACGCAAGAAAGCTCCATCGACAATGCAACATCCAGCTGGCGGAAGATAGACAAAAAGGGGCCTCACCGGGAATCGAACCCGGGACCTCTCGCACCCGAAGCGAGAATCATACCACTAGACCACGAGGCCATACTGGTGACGCCGACTCGCCACATTGTTTGCACGCATTATTGCAAGTGGGAACACTACGCACGATACGATTGTGCTCTGATACGCACGACGATATGCTTCTCTTTCGGCGCATGCATTCCACAGTCAGTATCAGCTCTCCGAACCTTACGTTCGCTGCAGGCGCGATTGGACTTGGGAGCAGACAACGTTTTAACGAGGATCAGTCGTGACTATGTAGCCGTCAGTATGACGATAGAAAGCTCCATCGACAATGCAACATCCAGCTGGCGGAGGATAGACAAAAAGGGGCCTCACCGGGAATCGAACCCGGGACCTCTCGCACCCAAAGCGAGAATCATACCACTAGACCACGAGGCCACACTGGTGACGTCTACTTGCCACATTTGCCCGCATTATTGCAAGTGGAAACACTACGCACGATACGATTGTGCTCTGATACGCACGACGATATGCTTCTCTTTCGGCGCATGCATTCCACAGTCAGTATCAGCTCTCCCAAACTGACGTTCGCTGCAGTCTCGATGCGACTTGGGAGCAGACAACGTTTACACGAGGATCAGTCGTGATCATGTATCCGTCAGTATGACGCAAGAAAGCTTCATCGACAATGCAACATCCAGCTGGCGGAAGATAGACAAAAGAAGGGCCACACCGGGAATCGAACCCGGGACCTCTCGCACCCAAAGCGAGAATCATACCACTAGACCACGAGGCCACACTGGTGACGTCTTCTTGCCACATCGTTACCACGCAATATTGCAAGCGGGAACACTAAGCACGATACGATTGTGCTCTGATACGCACGACGATATGCTTCTCTTTCGGCGCATGCATTCCACAGTCAGTATCAGCTCTCCCAAACTGACGTTCGCTGCAGGCGCGATGCGACTTGGGAGCAGACAACGTTTTAACGAGGATCAGTCGTGACTATGTAGCCGTCAGTATGACGCTAGAAAGCTCCATCGACAATGCAACATCCAGCTGGCGGAGGATAGACAAAAAGGGGCCTCACCGAAAATCGAACCCGGGACCTCTCGCACCCGAAGCGAGAATCATACCACTAGACCACGAGGCCACACTGGTGACGTCTACTTGCCACATTTGCCCGCATTATTGCAAGTGGAAACACTACGCACGATACGATTGTGCTCTGATACGCACGACGATATGCTTCTCTTTCGGCGCATGCATTCCACCGTCAGTATCAGCTCTCCCAAACTGACGTTCGCTGCAGTCTCGATGCGACTTGGGAGCAGACAACGTTTACACGAGAATCAGTCGTGATCATGTAGCCGTCAGTATGACGCAAGAAATCTCCATCGGCAATGCAACATCCATCTGGCGGAGGATAGACAAAAAGGGGCCTCACCGAAAATCGAACCCGGGACCTCTCGCACCCGAAGCGAGAATCATACCACTAGACCACGAGGCCACACTGGTGACGTCTACTTGCCACATTTGCACGCATTATTGCAAGCGGAGACACTACGCACGATACGATTGTGCTCTGATACGCACGACGATATGCTTCTCTTTCGGCGCATGCATTCCACAGTCAGTATCAGCTCTCTCAAACTGACGTTCGCTGCAGGCGCGATGCGACTTGGGAGCAGACCACGTTTACACGAGAATCAGTCGTGACTATGTAGCCGTCAGTATGACGCAAGAAAGCTCCGTCGACAATGCAACATCCAGCTGGCGGAGGATAGACGAAAAGAAGGGCCACACCGGGAATCGAACCCGGGACCTCTCGCACCCGAAGCGAGAATCATACCACTAGACCACGAGGCCACACTGGTGACGCCGACTCGCCACATTGTTTGCACGCATTATTGCAAGTGGGAACACTACGCACGATACGATTGTGCTCTGATACGCACGACGATATGCTTCTCTTTCGGCGCATGCATTCCACAGTCAGTATCAGCTCTCCGAAACTGACGTTCGCTGCAGGCGCGATGCGACTCGGGAGCAGACAACGTTTACACGAGAATTAGTCGTGTTCATGTAGCCGTCAGTATGACGCTAGAAAGCTCCATCGACAATGCAACATCCAGCTGGCGGAAGATAGACAAAAAAGGGGCCTCACCGGGAATCGAACCCGGGACCTCTCGCACCCGAAGCGAGAATCATACCACTATACCACGAGGCCATACTGGTGACGTCTACTTACCACATTGTTTGCACGCATTATTGCAAGTGGGAACACTACGCACGATACGATTGTGCTCTGATACGCACGACGATATGCTTCTCTTTCGGCGCATGCATTCCACAGTCAGTATCAGCTCTCCCAAACTGACGTTCGCTGCAGGCGCGATTCGACTCGGGAGCAGACAACGTTTACACGAGAATTAGTCGTGATCATGTAGCCGTCAGTATGACGCTAGAAAGCTCCATCGACAATGCAACATCCAGCTGGCGGAAGATAGACAAAAAAGGGGCCTCACCGGGAATCGAACCCGGGACCTCTCGCACCCGAAGCGAGAATCATACCACTATACCACGAGGCCACACTGGTGACGTCTACTTGCCACATTTGCCCGCATTATTGCAAGTGGAAACACTACGCACGATACGATTATGCTCTGATACGCACGACGATATGCTTCTCTTTCGGCGCATGCATTCCACAGTCAGTATCAGCTCTCCCAAACTGACGTTCGCTGCAGTCTCGATGCGACTTGGGAGCAGACCACGTTTACACGAGAATCAGTCGTGACTATGTAGCCGTCAGTATGACGCAAGAAAGCTCCGTCGACAATGCAACATCCAGCTGGCGGAGGATAGACGAAAAGAAGGGCCACACCGGGAATCGAACCCGGGACCTCTCGCACCCGAAGCGAGAATCATACCACTAGACCACGAGGCCACACTGGTGACGCCGACTCGCCACATTGTTTGCACGCATTATTGCAAGTGGGAACACTACGCACGATACGATTGTGCTCTGATACGCACGACGATATGCTTCTCTTTCGGCGCATGCATTCCACAGTCAGTATCAGCTCTCCGAAACTGACGTTCGCTGCAGGCGCGATTCGACTCGGGAGCAGACAACGTTTACACGAGAATTAGTCGTGACTATGTAGCCGTCAGTATGACGCTAGAAAGCTCCATCGACAATGCAACATCCAGCTGGCGGAAGATAGACAAAAAAGGGGCCTCACCGGGAATCGAACCCGGGACCTCTCGCACCCGAAGCGAGAATCATACCACTATACCACGAGGCCATACTGGTGACGTCTACTTACCACATTTGCACGCATTATTGCAAGTGGGAACACTACGCACGATACGATTGTGCTCTGATACGCACGACGATATGCTTCTCTTTCGGCGCATGCATTCCACAGTCAGTATCAGCTCTCCCAAACTGACGTTCGCTGCAGGCGCGATTCGACTCGGGAGCAGACAACGTTTACACGAGAATTAGTCGTGATCATGTAGCCGTCAGTATGACGCTAGAAAGCTCCATCGACAATGCAACATCCAGCTGGCGGAAGATAGACAAAAAAGGGGCCTCACCGGGAATCGAACCCGGGACCTCTCGCACCCGAAGCGAGAATCATACCACTATACCACGAGGCCATACTGGTGACGTCTACTTACCACATTTGCACGCATTATTGCAAGTGGGAACACTACGCACGATACGATTGTGCTCTGATACGCACGACGATATGCTTCTCTTTCGGCGCATGCATTCCACAGTCAGTATCAGCTCTCCCAAACTGACGTTCGCTGCAGGCGCGATTCGACTCGGGAGCAGACAACGTTTACACGAGAATTAGTCGTGATCATGTAGCCGTCAGTATGACGCTAGAAAGCTCCATCGACAATGCAACATCCAGCTGGCGGAAGATAGACAAAAAAGGGGCCTCACCGAAAATCGAACCCGGGACCTCTCGCACCCGAAGCGAGAATCATACCACTATACCACGAGGCCACACTGGTGACGTCTACTTGCCACATTTTTTGCACGCAGTATTGCAAGCGGAGACACTACGCACGATACGATTGTGCTCTGATACGCACGACGATATGCTTCTCTTTCGGCGCATGCATTCCACAGTCAGTATCAGCTCTCCCAAACTGACGTTCGCTGCAGGCGCGATTCGACTCGGGAGCAGACAACGTTTACACGAGAATTAGTCGTGATCATGTAGCCGTCAGTATGACGCAAGAAAGCTCCATCGACAATGCAACATCCAGCTGACAGAAGATAGACAAAAAAGGGGCCTCACCGGGAATCGAACCCGGGACCTCTCGCACCCGAAGCGAGAATCATACCACTATACCACGAGGCCACACTGGTGATGTCTACTTGCCACATTTTTTGCACGCAGTATTGCAAGCGGAGACACTACGCACGATACGATTGTGCTCTGATACGCACGACGATATGCTTCTCTTTCGGCGCATGCATTCCACCGTCAGTATCAGCTCTCCGAAACTGACGTTCGCTGCAGGCGCGATTCGACTCGGGAGCAGACAACGTTTACACGAGAATTAGTCGTGATCATGTAGCCGCCAATATGGATGCTAGGAAGCCTATAGTACACTACTACAAGATCGTGCATTAATAGCAATTGTGTCACCTAAAATTGATGCGAATCCTGAACAGCGGAAATTAGTGCTGTAGTAATGTAGATTGTCGAAAATTAGATAATATCCCGGGCTCAGCGCGGCCAGCTTAAATTTTCGCCCCTGTTAATGTGGCTGTCTTTCTACTAAAAGAATCCGAACATATATAGTAGGTCATATTTAGTTGTTTTAATCCCATCTGGATTGGACGTAAATGCCGTCGTAGGCTAACGGAAATGTAAGAATGACACAAAATCCGTCCAACGACGTATTTTTTATTAAGTTGTAAGGGAGCGCCGATAACAAAATTCTTGTTATGCTCCTTTTTCTATGATACCTAAAAAACAGTAAATGGACGGCTACTCTGTACTTGTCTGGAAATAACTCTCCGCAATCTGTACTCGTAGTACAGAGGCTTGCCCGCTTCATAATGACTTATCTTGATCCTCATATCGACCATGAATTAGTAAGGGAGCTACCGTGAGGAGTTATGTACACGACCAAAGTTGCTCTTGAATACTTGATTGAAAATGCCTTTGCCTGACTTGAGACCCTTGCCTAATAGGAATAAAATTTATTTGATGACCTTTAAATCTATCGAATTAAGGATCCTGTAATTAATACCTTTCCTTTACAGCATGCGATAGATAGAATAGGGTAATTATCGTTAATTTCTTTCGTAGTCGCTGGAAATACGACTTAACAAAAGGAAAAGATAGAATGTCGTCATTGCTCAAAATAAGTTGTTTACCTTTGGTGACCTAATAATATTCCTTTCTTTAAGAAGTATGGATGAGTAGTTTAAACTCCGTTGACAGCAATAACCAAAGCGCTTTACTCACTATCAAGAGACAATTGTTACATTAGATCTGCTTTCACGTTTTCTTCGTGCCGTAACACCTGTCATTTTATGTAACTAATACCCTTTACCGTCATCATAAATCAAGATCGAGTAATTAACATCGTATATTTTAACATAGCAACTTCGATCGCATGTCTGGTGGTATAATCTTGAAAGCGCAGCCTGATTGATGCCGATATAAACAAAGATGAGTACCTTGCATGAAGTGATTGCCAAAATAGATGCATATAATACACGTGAATTTGCAGCTCAATAGCATTCCAGAATACAGAGTCGAAGTTTAGATGCTTTT